AACGGTAAGACCTTTTAATCATGTTTTACTGTGGGACTTTGTGTCTTAAAGAAACAGATGGCAGAGCCTGAACAACGATGGAAGTGGCCTGATCATGTCTGTGGGTAATTAATCAGTAGGCTTCTTGGCATCCTGTATGATGGCCTGAGCATGCTGAAGCGGGTTCTGCATAAGCTGGGACGCTAACAAACAGCCCTTTCTTGGGCACCTGCATCTTAAACAATTGCAGTTAACCATTGATCTTGGTTTCCATCTGCAAAATAAACTTGTCTTTGCCTCTGGAGCTGTTATAAGATTTTTAGGGATTATAATGAAACCTGAAAAAGAAAGCAGCAGTATGAAAATCCTAGTAATTTAACTGGAAATGTCTCTTAGATTCACACAACTTGTTCTTGTAGGTAGAACCTGTAGGTTCTTTACCTTAATTCTGTGTCAGTAATACTCTGCATTGCATAGTGCTGCATACAGATGTACAAGCTAATTTAGGAAATACAAGCATCCTGACAGTTTCAGCACGACACACTGTGTATTCCCATTAGCCTTTCTGAGAAACAGGATGCATTTCTTCAGCAGAGAACAATACTACCACACTATCCCACCGGTAGTGGGGGATGAGCACCTGGATGTAGTACTCTGCAGTGGAGTGCAAGCATCTGTAGCATGTGGAAGGAATGACTTAATGGTAAAAAATGACTTTGAAGAGGCAATTTCTATGAATTTTGATCTCAAAGTAATTGGTTTGAAACTAAACGAAATTTTTTATTCCTATAATGTACTGGTCTAAGTCTCTGGTGAAAGGATCATGGAGAGGAATTTCTGAATACAGTGTTCAAGATGTGTTCAGCAGTACCACTGCACTGATGGTGCCTCTCTGCAGAGACTACAGCACATATTCCACAGTTTGTCTCTAAAACATTGATAAATTATCCCTTAGCTAGAAGTGAAGATGCTATGCAGATGATTTGGGCTAGGCCATTCACTGTTCTTGCATATGACTGGTGTTCAGTGAGAGGACTCCAACAATTCCTACTTGGAATATATCATTGCATTCAACTTCGAAGTCATTGGTTTTTTTAATTAGAAACTCCAGCATCAGGTAGACAGTGCAACAGTAAAAGCTTCCTATCTTAAAGCAAACTGCTTTAGTCCTACTCTGGATTTGTCAGTACCCAAGTAAATGATCCTGTACTACCAGGATCTACTATGCAGAGCCCTAGGAAATTCTAGACCTGTTTTTTGCAGAGGGAAGTCTGTGGGGGAGTACTTAGCTTCCAAACTTGAACCCGATTTTTTCTTAAACAACTTGCTTTTAGGATGTAACGAAAATTCTGTTAAGATTTGTGGTGGCAAGACATAAAAGTGTGACTTATAAAGATTTAATTACTCTTTTGGTGTTGAGAGGATTACCAGTGATAGCTTTGTCTGTGATGGGATCCTAGTGTCTCGTTAATTACGCTGATTATAGGTAGTAGGAGAAATAAGCTCTAAATAATATGTTCTGGCTTGTAGATTATTCTTTTAGATCTTGAAGGTGTGTGTAGGTTTAGAAAGAAGTTTGTTGAAAGAAACAAAGACTTTTCTTTTGTGTAATATGTCTTTGTGAATTTCCAAATTCATACTGAAACACTGAATCTGTTTTTTCTTTCCTCAGGTGAAGAGTTTACCTTCTTGAAGGACCTTTCTGATATGGCAACAACTGAAGAAAGCCATTATGTTCTTAATATTGCCAACTCTCTCTATGTGCAGAATGGATTTCATATCAGTGACAAATTTCTGCAGTTGGTGAAAAAATACTTTAAAGCTGAAGTTGAGAACATAGACTTCAGCCAAAGTGCAGCTGCAGCTACCCACATCAATAAGTGGGTGGAGAATCATACAAATAGTAAGTCCACGTGATTCTTTTATATACTTCCTGCAGTAAGTGTTTGGGTTTCCAAAGTTATGCAGTGTTGTTGAATTGTTGCCTTGGCTTTCATCTGTTCCCTTTGACATTAAACTATCTCCCCCCATAAAAAGAATTCTAGTATCAGCATTTTGTGAAATTGTATTTTTTTTTTCTTGTGCAGGAATGATCTGGTTTAAGTAATATTTGCAATCACTAATCATATCGTAGTGTGTGGCTGAATATTTTTTCCACTGTCTTACTATCTTTAACATTTACTTACTATCTCACTATCTGTAACATTTACTTGAAGGAGCATGTTTCAATGGTAGGCATTTTAATAATATTTTAACACGGATTTCAGTATTAAATTAACAAGGTAACTAAGTACTATTGCTGACTGCGGACTATTTGTCTACAAAGGGGTTATTGGCCTATGCTTTGGCTATGGGGAGTATCACTAATTCTCAGAGGAACTCACAGTTACAGGGTACTGAGAAATAGAACACTAAGGAGTGCAAAAGATAATTTTGAACCCCAAAATCAAACCCCATAATTCAGTCTTTTCCAATGTCAGGAAACTAGATAGCATGTTGAGAGTAGCTGATTTTAGGAAGACTCTCAACAGCATTTCACAACAAAAATTTGCAGCAGGGGAGTAAGCACAAGGCTAATGTAAATATGCATATTCAGATCTGCAGGATGTAGGGCTTGCTTCGCTTGTGGAATCCCTAAGATTCCTATCACTTCCTGAATACATGCAGAGTCTCAAGATATGGGAGTGAAGATAGTCCCCTGTTGTGGGGATCAAAGCATAAGCTCATTCTAGTTCATCTGGCACACTCTGGAGGTTGATATTTTAAGAGTAATTCAGCAAGGGTCTCGCTCTAACATCAGTTGTGCTGTTGTAAATTTGAAGGTGTCGGAATCCCCTGTAAGGAATTAACACATCACCATGTAGCCAGAGCGTTTAGGAATCTTTAATGCTTTACGGAAATGTATGGCACCACAGTGGAAAAACACCTCATATAATGCTTTTATTCCATTTTGGAAATTATATCTTTTTTTTTTTTACTTTTCCAAGGAAAAATGGCAGCTATTATATTCATAATGAATTCTGCCCTTTTTCTAAAGCTACAGCAATAGATGGAGTGTAAGTCATGCAGCAGATTGCGGAGTGTTTTCAGAGAAACATGGTGAAAAAGTAAAATTGGCTTTTTCTTAGAAACAACAGCAAGTTCTCCTTAATCCCTGCCATGTGTGCTGACCGAGCTCATACCCAGTGCCCTGGCAGGAGCGGTGCAAAGCTGTGGGTCTCTCAGCATTAGGTTGCGATAGTAACAGTCCCTCAGCCTAGTCTCTGACCACTGGATCTCATTCTCTCCTGCCTGACAGCTCTGATGGAGGAGGCTCATTTGCTCATTAGGAAATGGTTACAAGACAGGCAGGTTTCCAATTCCAGCATGTTAAGCATGAGGGGAGGCTCGGAGCAGAAAACATAACTGTCAAGGTTTCTCTGGCCAGAAAAATTCTTACCCTTACATTAGTGTGTGGCTGAAAAATACGAGGGAATATGATGTACCAAACAGAACTGGAAAAACTGGAAGTGTATTCCTTCTTAATTTTTCCTCTTTTTTTCCAACCACGAGAGTATGGCAGTATGGGTCACATCTCATTTCTAAGAATGTTCTAGATAAAGTGAAGTACCAACAGCAACGCAGAAGAAATACTGCCCTGTGATGCACAAATTTCACACCGGCTAGTCCATGTCATATGCTCCAGAAAGCAGAATTAATCTGTGGTTTAAACCATGGATTAAGAAGTAATAATCAGACTGAGGAATGCGTTTAACACCTTACATTGCAATGTCAGTTAAAAATAGAAGTGAGGAAGAAAGCTGTCTGAAGTAGGCTGTCATTCCTCAAGAATAGTGACAAATCTGGTCAGTGCACTAAAATTAACGAACTCGAAATTATTTTGCTGAAAAGCAAGCCATTTAAGATGAGCTAAAGCAGGTAACAGGCGGTTTCCTGATGTAAATGACTTACTGAGGAGTGGGAGCAAAGCAGCTGCCATGCTCAGCTGACATACCTCCCATGAATAGAGCAGATGCTAGATGTTCTTTCTCTTTTGCTTTTCAAGAGCTAATGTCAGTGGAACAAATGCTGTGAATTTATGGGATTTGGGGTTTCTTTTGTGATTAATCCACACTTTGAAGTCAGTAGGACATTACTGAAACTGAATGCTTCCTTCAGAATTGTCCCAGGTGAAGTTCCAGTGGGTATACTTAAACAGTGTAATTAAGCACCCGTTTAAGTGCTGCTTTGGACTGGAGCCAAAGTTTGTAGAAGTTCTCTCCTTAAGAGGTTCTGAACTGTATTATAGCACCAGTGTAAATATTCCTTGTGTGACCCCTTTCCACTTGGGTTCACTGTGGGGTATATTTAAGTAGTGATCAAGAAACAGTTGACTAACAGGTACCTGATGGAAGGGTTTATGCACCTACCTACACTGCGATTTAGGTTTACAAAACACTGGCAGTTTAATTTGAGATTTAATGAAACATCTGAATTGGAAATTACATGTTAGCACAGCTTTTTATTTTCTTGCATTTTTTCAAGCTGTCTTAAGTTTTGATTTAGTGCTCAATTTGACGTGCAGACTGACAGTTGGTTTTCTTCTTAGATATGATCAAAGATTTTGTGTCTTCAAGAGATTTTGGTGCTCTAACTCATCTGGCTCTCATCAACGCAATCTACTTTAAAGGCAATTGGAAATCACAGTTCAGACCTGAAAATACAAGAACTTTTTCTTTCACTAAAGATGATGAAAGTGAAGTGCAGATTCCGATGATGTACCAGCAGGGAGAGTTTTACTATGGTGAGTTGGAGCTTGAGCAATTTAAAGCTATGAAGTCTTCCCTTAATAGGTCTGTTGCCTGTTCTTTCAGCTAGAATCTTTAACATGGTGCCTTCCCGAGGCAGGGTCTCTTTTTTGAGGTCTTATACAGTGTGTGTGCTTGTTTATAACTAGATAGCAACATTTATAATGACCTCTTTCTTGATTACTTTTTTAGGTACACGTTTGGTGCCACATGGTGGATTTCAGAACACTTATCCATCATACCCAACCACTTTCCGATTTTTCGCTAGTCCTGCTTCTCAATAAAATGATTTTCTTGTGCTGTGCTAAATATTAAAGTAACGTTTGCTCGTTACTCTTGTAATATCCTTAGAAAGGTCAAGTTGGGGTTCTTTGAACAGCAGAACTAGTCATCATTTTTATCTTGAGTATGAACTCCAAGTGGGGTCTGCATTGTCTAGCATTGGCAGTATTTCACTCAGTCTCATCACTGACAAATTATCTCTCTTTAATAAACAAAACCTCTGTCCGTTTCCATGAAAGTCTTGGCAGCCTTAACACCTTTTAGACTCCTCTAAGCAATGGCAGTTCAGTCATATGTTCAGAAGTATGATTATCTACAAACTCTGTGATTGCCTAAGCTTGTTTTCTTCAAGAAAGCAGATGTAAGCCTTCAATCCTAGGATGAAGAAAACAATGAAAAGCATCATTTTTAGATCCAATATCGTAAATACTGCCTACTATTAGCCTTCTATTTTTCCTGTATATCCAGTGAAGGCAGAAGAAAATCCTTCTAATACCTTTTTGTGTTGTTTTTCTTTTGTAGGAGAGTTCAGTGATGGCTCCAATGAAGCAGGTGGTATCTATCAAGTTCTGGAAATACCATATGAGGGAGACGAGATCAGTATGATGATTGTTCTGTCCAGACAGGAAGTTCCACTGGTCACACTGGAACCGCTGGTCAAAGCCTCGTTGATTAATGAATGGGCCAATTCTGTAAAGAAGCAGAAAGTGGAAGTTTATTTACCAAGGTGAGAATATGCTCCCATGTCAATAGAAGGGAAGGACTGCATTCAAATTGATTGGAGCAGCAGTGTAGGTAAAACTTGAACATCTTGATTAAGGCTGCAGTTATTTAGCCCCCGTGTGAAAGTTGCTTTGCATCCCTTTCATATGTAAGCTCCAGGAACTAGAATTTCATCATCAGGAATATATCCACTCTGAATGATGTTCAGAGTACTGCAGAACTCATTAGGGATAAGTTCCATCAGGAGACATAGAAATATTGCAAGTCAAAATTAACAGAAGCTGAAATGTTTCATTTAGGTCCTAATTAGATTTCTATGTGCTGCTAATTTAGAAAATTCTAATGGTGTGTGTCTGTGTAGATACAAATGGTTGAGCGTTGAGAGGTAATTCCAGTCAATTTGTGTCTTGTCTTTTTTCTTAGTTGTAATAAGTGCTGGTTTCTTTTTCCTTAGAGAGGCAATAGAATAACAAGACGTTGCTACCAGAAGGGATGCCACTTCTGTCAGTTCATTTGTAGACATAAGTTGTGAGTGCTCAGTGGCATATTTGCTCACGTATACCACTCAGTTATCTTTCCTAGAATTCTCTTTCATCTACCTTCCAATATTTTTCATCCTTGCCATACACTTGACTTAGTAATAGAGTTGTTTACTACTAAACGTCACTAATAAAGTATAGTTGGATCATGATGTCCCTGAAGTGATTCATAACTATTTCACTGAAGTGTTTATATAACAATATGGCACCAGTTTGATGCGAATTGCTTCTAGTTATTCTGCTTTTGTGGGCACTGTGCAGTGGGTACATGGCAGCAGAAAAAAATAAACTATAGTCACTCCTTTTAAAATAGCTATTGGTTTTCAGGAGACTTGGAGATTTGAGTTTGTTATATTTCCTGTGTAAAGAGCAAGGCAAGAATCCCTGCAGTTTATCAGTTTCCTTTCCAAGCAAAGATCACTTTCAGGAGCTACCTGCAGCTGAGCACAGTAAAACAAGGCTAGCCAGGAGAAATGAGGTTGAGATGAACTAGTGCTGTCAGCATGCCCTGATTCCAACTCAAGATGGAATTCCACTTCTCTAAAGCTGTTACACTTGGAGCCAGAGGGAACAGCAGCAATTTGGGGCTATTTTTCTCTGCCCCATAGTAAGGGTTCCATTCTTTTTAAGTAGCATTTCCTTTGAAGAAGCAGGGAGAGCAGCAAAGAGCTGCATTGCAGCTTTTATACAAATTGAACCTACTGTACACTATTCCTGTTAATTTTTTTTTTTTGCTTGTTTTTCTCTTGGAGCTTCAGGTCCAAGGAGCTTTAGTATTAACAGTCCACTAAGATGCAGAGGAGGGGCGTTTCTCCTAGGCTATTTCTCCTGCAGGCTTGGGTAAACCTTACCTAGATGTTAATGCAAAGTAAAATGTGAGGATTCTTCTCTCCCTTAATCTTTCCTTTTATAACTGGAGCATTTCACAGCCTGTGCATCAGGTGCTGAAGTTGGACATCTCAAAGAATTGCTAGGGTGTGAGATCCACAAAGTCTCCCTCCATTTATTTTATACATACATATATATATATAATCTTTGAAAACTAGCTTCCAAATTCCAGCAGCTTAGGTATCTGCAATTAAATACATAAATGTAATTGGAAACATATTAATTATGTGTATGACTTGAATTAAGTTTTTACAGGTGGTTTTGGGTTTTGTTTGTTTTTTAACCAAAAGCAGAGACTTGGGATTCTCTGTAGCCAGGTTCTCAGACATGAGTTATAGGCTTAGGTTTTGTATGGTCATATAAAGTCCTTATTTATTCTGTCCTCAGATTAGTCCTCGTGCCTGTTGCTTTTAGATAAGAACCTCAAAGAACTTGGTAAACATTTGTGAATTAAGACTGTACAAAGGCAGAACAGGTACAAGAAGGTGCTGATTACCTTAAGTATTTTCAGATCATAAAAGATAACTATCATGAGCTTGAAATTCCACATAGTAATACTGCAGTTTCCTTACAGAAATTCCAAAGACTAATTGCATGGTCCCAAGGTGTTGGATTTCCATTAGGGATTCAGAGGTGATCTGCAGGATTTTATCAATGCTCTAAATAAACACTTCATAAATATTTCATGTTCTGACTCAGAAAGGCATGTTATGAAATGTGGCCTACAGGGCTCTGTCCACTGAGAAATTGAAAGCAGCAGTGGAATAAAATTAAATTTTTATATCCTGAAAGATGCTATCCAATTATAACGTGAACATTTTTTAAACTTACACATTTGTAATAGGACCTGAATGACTAGCCAAAGCAGAGTTAATCACAACTTTCCAATTTCTGTCTGCATTATCTGTGTGCAAATGAAATTGTGTATTATTCCTCTTAATAGCAAAGGAGAGATTTGTACAGAATTGTTAAATTATACTTTCTCATTTTCATTTTCAAATCATTGTTTCCAGCTTAACCCAGACTAAAGTGATCAACATTTTAATCCACTTTTTGCATAGGAGTGAAACAGACCATGAATCTAATTTACAAAGCTGTCTCTCTAACAAAAATTATTTGAAGAGCATAGGAGGAACTAGTGCCTAATAACAGTGCTACAGTCTGCAGATCTCCTCTTAAGGATTGTTCCAGTATGTCTGGCTCTCTGTAATGATCATCTTGCTTCTTTGCACATTTAAAATATTTTTGAAATGCCTTAGACTATGTTGAAGTGATAAGCTTCTTGATCTGAAGGTTGATTTCAAAAAAAAAAAAAAAAAAAAACCACCAAACCCCCCTGACACTTTCTCTTTTTTAAACATGCTCTCTTGATTCCCCTTTTCATGAGGAACAGGGCAGTGCTGATTGTTCTTGCGAGAGTCACAAAAGAGGCATAAAACTGTCCCGCTGAAATACACGCTCAGCCAATGTCTGCAGCCCATATTTAGCCCTGGGTAGAAAGACATTGCCAGAGAAAGAACCATAACCTGTCTTGCTTCACCTAGCCAGAGCAGCTGTGTGGGGTTTATTGGGTTTTGATGTTCGTGGGGTTTTTTGTTGCTGGCCTGTTCGTTTTCAGGCTATTAAATCACGCAGGCTTGTTGCAGCACTCCACTGTTGGAACTGATATCAGCCAGCAGCTTTCTGTTGTAGGCTGCTTGCTAGGTTAAAATAGTGATTCAGATCCTGAGGGCCTGTCCTCCAAGCAAGAATATTGTTGATATCAAGCAATAAAGCCAGTCCTTTGTTTGCTTTTTGTTCTGCAGACTGTAATAGAGCTAGTCTGAAAACCTGGAATTCCTTGCTTTTGCTCATTCGGAACTCTTAGTAATTTTAGAAATTATAGCCTTTAGGATGAATCACATTAGGCTGTACTTCACTGCTGTTGTATAACTAGAAAGTGTACCCTAATCCTTCCTGATTCTGTGGATCCTGATTGTCTAAGGACTTAATGAAAAATTCAGCATTTCGGAAGGGTTGCGCAATATCGTACAAGATGAAGCCATCTTTTCTTCTGGCTTGAATCTCTGCAAAATAGATGCAAGATGGCCTGATATGGTATGTTAATGCTCTATCCAAAACCTAAAGGTTCAGGTACATAACAAAGGAGACTGATGACAAAAATGCATAATTTTAATGATATTGCAAGATTTAAATTTCTTGAAAACATCATAATTCTCTGCTAAACTCTACAGACACCTGTTAGCTTCTCAATCTAATTCTACTTCCTAATCATCTCATTCTGGTTTTCATTTGTTGCGGAAGAGACCCAAAGACAATGGAAGTCAAGGAGGTATTTTTGTTCAGCTATTTGTAGGAAGTAGAGAGACTTTACAAATAAAAATTCTAAAAATATGTATGGAGTTAAATCCTTCACTTCTACTTGACTCTGGCTAAGAGCTGAGTCACTATTCCTTATTAATACCTTTCTGCTCAGTGCTGTCTAAGGAGGTTTCTAGAAGCATATATCCACAGACATGTGTTGATGAAACTTCCAGAACTCCTGAAGTGCAGAAGTTCTCCTCTTACCCCAGCAGATCCGTCTGTTCCTGTTCTGGTCCTATGGTGAAAATACCTCATCTTTTTTCCAGTCTTCTCAGACTTCCCTTTGTGCTTTTTAATGCTCCTAGTTACAAGTATTCCATGATTTCCGATACTGAAGTATTGAAATTGATTTTTTCATAGTCGATTTAGCATCAGAAACATCTAAAAGATTGTACAAAAAAAAAATACCATCTGATTTATTAGATGCAACAAACACTGCAAATAACCACATGTCAGAGCTAGTATCATGTAGCCTGGCATTTCCCAAGTCTGGAGGTACAGCAGTTGCCTGGCTTGGGAAATGAGACTGAATATCTCTTTCCTGTTCTAGGTTGTCAGCATTAATTTTGAATACCTACATCACTGTCTGTAGGGAATGCAAAGACATCAGAATATCACTGGAGGATAACTCGTGCTGAATGTTTATATCGGTTTGCGTTGCCTGAAATTATATTTCAAAGCGTAAAGCAGCCCTGTTATTTTTCAAGAGAGTTGAGTTTTGATGTCAGCTAAAATATTTGAAATATGATTAATAACAGCTTATCTGTAACTCTTGCTGCTCTTCAGAGCATGTGAGAAAGGAGGGGAGACCCTATTTTGAACAGTGGTTTAGAGTGGGGTTTTAGCAGATACCAAAGCTAAAAGGGGACAAGGGAAGTAATTAGTTTTATTTTCATAAAGGGATGGATGGGTATTTATACAGGTGATGCGATATTTTCCGTCTACTTTATTTGTGGTAAAAAGCAGGAGCTCGCTCTTGTAGTTATTGTAGGGACCTTCACTCATCCACCTGTTCAGTATTTGCTTTTCCAGAGGTTTCAGTCAGGGACATAGCAGTCACTTAATTAACGGCCAGAGGCTATTTCTCTTCTTGTAGGTACTCCTTAGCAATACAACCAATCCTCTTGTTTGCATTTTCTTTTTCCCAATGCATATTCAGCTGGGACTTCACAGACTTCTGTGCTTGGTTGGTTTTTTTTTTCAAATCCATCTCCCAAACCTCTTCATTGATTAGTATGCAAGAGCATCTTTTGTCATGCTTTCTTTCGGGGTCACAGTTCGTCCCTTAGCAGATGAGTATTTTTTCTGTCCAGTGGTCCAGAGACTTAAACCCACCTGATTTCCATGTATATCTTAGTGATACCTATATAGATACCTTTATCTATAGTGATTCTCTGCAGTTGGGAAAAATGCCTTTTTGCAGTTATTTTTCTTATTTGTCACCTCAAATTTTTCTTTTCATGCAGACTTCTCTTGCTAGTGTCCTATCCTGATATTCTTTTACTAGTTCAACAGTGCTACTTAATAGCTAAATTATCCTGAAAGCTTGTTACATTTAATACTTACAGTGGTGAAATAAAAGCCAAAAAAGGGAAGAATATACCACTCTGCTTCTTTTTTTTTTTAATAAAATGCATTTTAATCTTTTGCCTTTTCTGCATGTTTGTAAGGTATGTGAAGTTGGATGTGTGTTTCTAAGTGTTACAGTATTTTTAATATTGAAGGAAATACTTCTGGATTTGCTCAGTGTACAGAGAGACCCACTGTACTGTTTAACTCTGGCTTCAGGAATCGAGTCTTAATTTCTCTCTCTTAGGGTTTATTGAAGTCTTGAAAATAGATCTGGACTTAGGTTACAAGTATGTAGTGACTCAAACTAGTCTCTAGTTTTGGAGCCTGTAAGCCAGTGGGAAAGTTGAATGAATGAGCAATTTGCAGATTTCTCTCTTGGCTTAAAGCCAAAATTGCACAGAAGGTCTTGAGAGCTCCCTGCCTGTAGTTTTTGACTAGTATCATAGAATGGTTTGGGTTGGAAGGGACCTTAAAGACCATCTAGTTCCAACCCCCCTGCCATGGGCAGGGGCACCACCCCCCTGCCATGGGCAGGGACACCTTCCACTCGACCAGGTTGCTCCAAACCTCAACCGGCCTGGCCTTGAACACTTCCAGGGATGGGGCATCCACAGTTTCTCTGGGCAACCTTTTCCCAGTGCCTCATCGCCCTTTCCGTGAAGAACTTCTTCCTGAGATCTAATCTAAACCTCCCCACTTTCAATTTAAACCCGTTACCCCTTGTCTTGTCACTCCCTGCCCTTGTAAAAAGCACCCCCAGCTTCCTTGTAGCCCCTTCAGGCACTGGAAGGTGCTCTAAGGGCACCCCGGAGCCTTCCCTTCTCCAGGCTGAACACCCCCAACTCTGTCAGCCTGTCCCCATGGCAGAGGGGCTCCAGCCCTCTGAGCATCTTTGTGGCCTCCTCTGGACTCGCTCCAACTGGTCTATATCCTTCTTATGTTGGGGGCTCCACAGCTGGATGCAGTATAAGTGTCCACAGCTTTCTAAGAGGGAAGTGAGTGATGATTCCTCCTGAAAAGGAAACTTAACAGGACACATTTCTATTTCCTACAGTCCTATGGGCTGTTTTCAGATCATCTGATCGATGTACTTTAAGCTCATTCACTAAGGTAGTGACAGCTTTTGCTGTATGCCAGATATATGGCATATGAATATGCCAGAACACCATAAGCTTCCTCCAGTACATAAATCTTTGGTCTCTTCTGATTTTTTTGAGAACTGCCAAAACAATAAAACCACAAGAAACATTTCTTGTAGTTTTATTCCAGGTGTATCCTGGATTTTTCTGAACTTGGGGTGTCAGTGATTTATCGATCCTGAACTATCTCCAGGTCTTATTTTAAATTGCATAAAATTCTCTTCTGGGTGATGACTAATATCAATTCCATCATAGATTTTTGGCTTCTAATGGCATTTCTGCATTCATTATGAATGTGTAGATTGTGTATTGGATTTTTCTCATTCTGCATAAATACTGTAAGTGAGGAAGATCCACTTGACCCTTACCCAGTTGTTTTTTGATACCTAGATGATGCTTTTTCAAGCATAATGTGAATCACTAGTAATTTGTTTGGTCATTCTATAGGGAACCCATAACTCGCCCATAACCAACATTTATAATTAGTCTCTTGTCTGTCCAGTATTTTCTGGTTGAGGCTGCAATTGTTATTATTATTCTGATGTACTTCTTTGTTTCTTCAGCTGTCCAGTCTGTTTCTGGCCTTACATAAAGGATTTGAGTCTTTTTTTGTCTTACTGACACCAGGCAGAACTTCTGTCACGTTTGAAAAGAAGTCTTTGCTAAACTCTTGCACTCAGGATAAATCTCTGTTTGTCCTTCAAGCATAGTAACATGGCTTTGCAACCTAACCCTGAAATCCTGCCAGGTTATACTCACAACTGTATAACAACTATTGGTTTTCCCTGTTCTTTACTCCCAATGAAAACACAATTTAAAATTTGCCACCAGGTTAATTAGAAACTGAGTCAGAAATGCTTTCTATCTGTGCTCATAACTCTGCTTATACTCACTTCCCTACTCCTTCTTTCCCAACAGCTCTGAAGTTTGTCCTGGCCTTTGCCTCATTTGATATTCTGTTCTAGTATGTGTACAATTAAATTCAGTTTTTATAGTAAGTTTTTGTATAAAAAGCAAGCATTTACATTATCTCCTGCATCATTTTGCACTGAGGTTTTATGGTCAGGGTCTGTACATTCCATTAGCATCTTTTTGATTGCTTCTGCATTAGGGGAAAAAAAAATCCACTTGTGAAAGTCAAGCCATTTGTTTGTAAGCATTTGTGTAGAAGCTGTCACCGTGCTGTACTCTTGGTGCCACAGCTCCTACTTTATACTATTTAACTTGGTATTTCAATTGTCATTACCTAGAAACTTTAACCTTCTAATAACAATAAGTGCTGCTGACATTCTGGGCTTTTTGTACTTTTCTATTACCCTCTCCAGGTTCACAGTGGAACAGGAAATTGATCTGAAGGATGTTTGGAGAGGTCTTGGAATTACAGAGCTGTTCAGCAGTAGTGCTGACCTCACTGCGATGTCTGGTAAGAGGTTCTTGTGTTGTCTCTCAAGATACATGAGCAAGTACTGAAATCACCTAAAGATAAGCAACAAGGTCTTCCAAGTGGCGTTATAGGGTGGGAAGGGGAAACCTGCTATCAGTTTGATGATCCTTTGGGATTTTTGCATAATGTAAGAATGTGCTTACTGTTGGGGCAAGGGGACAAATCCATCGGGGGGTGAGGGGTGGGGGATTTTCGACTTGGGAAAGTTCACTCTTGGTATCTGAGAACTGGATCTCATTAGAAATGTAGAGAAAGCATCATACTATGCAAGAGGCCGCTCCGCATTAGAGCAGTATATGGCTTCAGTGCCTGGATGGCAAATGGGATTCGCACGAGGGGGTTGTCATCTTTTATCTCCAGAGGCTATTTGTTCACAGCATTAAGAGCATTAAGCTGTTGTACCATTAGTCATCTCCCCAGATACCTGCTGTATAGAAGCAGCACAGGCAAGAAAGAGTTCTGAGATAAAAGCAATTTAGTCACATATGCTGCTTGCCTGTTTCAATACATTGTCAACACTGTATTTTCAGAAGTTGAAATATCCAATACATGTAGAAATTCAGGTGAAAATGAGACATTTATTGTCTTAATACCTCCTAAAAGGTACTCAGTGGCAGAAAAGCTGGTTGAGTCATCTTTGCCTGAGAAGTTACTTCATTATTGCATAACGAAAGTAGCCACACAAGCAGTGCATTCAGCATGGTCTGAATTTTGGCAAACCCAGTTCTCTACCTAGAAGCATGTGCCAGTGCTGGTGTTATCCTTGCAATTTATGCTTATATACTGCTCACTGTATGTGTTTCTGCTTTATGGGTTACTGCCTAATCAGCCAGATCGATCTGTAGCTGGTGGGAAATAACTGTTCTCAGTTGTCCGCCCCTGGTAGCAGCCACACTTGTGTGGCTTATTCAAAGTAGGGGTAACAAAGGCAAACCTTCCTTTAAATTTGACAGCAGAAATGTTTGCAGTTTCCTATCTTTTCACTTTTGCCAAGTTTGAAGTACTGTTTATAGTGTATCATGTAGCTTATTCCTCTGTTTTGCCACCCCCACTTTTACAGTGAAATTGTGGGAAGCTAGTTAGCTAATACGAAAAATCCTTCTGTAAAAGAAAATTACCATTTTTCTGGAGAAAAAAACACCTTTGGTTTCTCTGTTCCCCAAAGAAAAGTAAGCTCTCCAATAACTTCTGGTCTATATATAGAAACATATTTACATGAGGAAAAGTACTAAATAGAATGGAAAATACACAGGGGAGATTGAACCACAAAGGCAGTGCTTGGCTCTGATTTAATTTCATGTAAAATTCACCTCTATGTCGGGGACTAATTCTGTAGTGGCAAGGTTAGCAGAGAGATTGCAACTTGCTTGTGTTTCAATCCATGTGACTAATGTCGCTTCAAGTTTTATATTTTTGACAATTGTGCTGTATAAAATGAAAACACCATGTTTTGCATGACTGAAGTAACTCCTCTGCCATTTAAAGATTGACTTGTTTGTGAAGTAACGTAGAGCAGCGTACAGAGAGAATTTATGGCTTCTACTGTAACATTTTTGCTTTTCACTACAAAGGACATGTGCCACCAGGTGGGGAAAAGGTCATTCATAAATTAAGAGTAAGAAAATGTTTTTGAAGTAATGTCTTTTAATGAAAACCCTGCTGTTGGTTCTATGGAGATGAAATTTTAAGTAATTAAAATACAGAATATGTCTCCTATTTCTAATTTTCACAATATATAATAGTGGAGAGGGAGGAGGGAGGGGAAAAAAGGTCTCATAAAGAAAAATGTTGAAAGCTTGCTTTTGCAAAGACCTGAATAGGAGGTCAGGGAAGTTGAAGACTGAATTGTATGTGTATCTCAGTCTCAGCCCTCTGGAAGATCTGGAACTTCATGAAACCTTAAATGCAGATATTTGACCAAAATGCTTGTCCGGACATTTTTAATTTAGGAAGGCACGAGTCATAAGAGAAATCCAAGGAGATTTTTGAGAAATTCTGTTGCATTTAAAAATACTCTCCTCCCCCTCTCCTGTTTCTCTTGCCTTTGGATTATTGTCAAGGAAAGCCTTCAGCAATTTCAACAATGGCCCTTAGCTTGTAATCAGATCCAGGCACAGATTTTTGAGTTCAGTGAAATTCCATGTGGGTTTAGTGGATATAAAACAAATTGCAGGATTACAGACTTACTTTTCAATATTTAGATTTTTTTTCCTTTTTTGTACTCAATCTGAACATTGGAAATGGACAAGCCAGCTTTACCTTCCAGGCTGTCTGGATTGTGAGTAATCAAAGAGAAAGTGTTAATCCAGACGCACATTTTAAATGGTACGCTCTTGCAGAGATTAAGTTCTTTGTCAATTAACCCAGGTGAGTAGGAGGACATTCCCATTTGGCTGTCTACTTGCATCTATTCTGTATTTCAGCAAAAGACTGTGACAGGTTTTACTGGCATCTCTGATTCCATCAGGTGTTCAAAATAATCTTGCAACAACAACTTCTGGCATTTGAGATTGTAAAATTTACACAGCACATCAACTTGCTACTTGAGTATTTTAACACCACCTAGGACTTACCCTCGATCTAATTTAAATACTTATATTCCCCTTCCCTTTCAAATTATTATAGTATTTCTTACTGCCGTATAATGCCTTAAATGGCAACTGCTTTTCACCTCAAGGTGACCTACATTTATGTACACAGGGAGGTAATCTTAATGGCTGACTTTCACACCATAAAGTAGTTAGAAGAGCACCAGTCCAGTAAATAGTTCTTCAAAGTCTTGACTGAGGTAGGTGTAATTTTTCTGGGACAAACTAAGCTAGAGAAGCCAATAAACCTGCACACTTTTTTAAAATGAGACTTGCAGAGCAACCATTTGGCAGCTATGAGTAGGAGTTTGCAAGCATATGGGGTGTAATGACAAATGAAATGTGATGCTGAGAGTCATGTACATTAGAAGTAAGTCTCAGATTGCTCCCACACATTAATGGGTATCTAGGCTAGGGTCCTGCAGAAATCTTAGCCTTTGATACCAAATCTTCATGGGACTTTTCTGATATGGTAACAATCAAATGTTGGTTCCTGTGAAAATCCAGATTCAAAGAAGCTACTGGAGAAAAATGACATGATAGTAGGTACTCAGGTAAGGCCCACTTTATTCACAGTGAAAGCCATAAATGTATGTAATAATGACAAGATGTGTATGATATTGAAGTATTACAGTCAGTGATTTGACAATCATAAAATAGAGCAAAGAGAAGATTGCCTCAAAGCTAGCCGACAACATTATGGTTCCATATGAAAATAAATTCATTCACTTCAGGGAGCGATGAATGAGAGAGATGTGATAATGGCAATAGAAAGAGAAGAGTATAGAGAAAGTAAATTGGGATGTGGAATTGCTCTTTTCACCATCCAAGGACAAAGATATCCAAGAAAGTGAAAGGCAACAAATTGAAACCAAGTAATTCTCTTAGGCAAAACCTAACCACAGAGATCTTTGCTGGGTATTCCTTGAGGTTGTGAGATGGATAAGGTTAAAAATGTAGCTTCAGAGCAATCGAAACTGTCTATACTACATTGAATGAAGGCATTCTATATATGGTGTGGATTAGAGACTTGGTTTAAGGTATAAGGCACATGCTGAGTGAGAGGATCTTTCTTTTGTAAGTCATACTGTAGTTTTCATCTGTAAGAGGCTTCTTCTATCTTGTTCTGAAGCAACGATTGTAGCTGGAGCAGTGTGACTGATTGGACATACTGATGTCATCAGCAGTGGCATGACTTGTATTCCTGTCAACTTGACAAAATACTGTTGGGTTTTTTTAACGCTTAAATCCTGAATACATTTGCTGGTAGGCCTGCTGTAATACCTGCTGGGAAATGCTGTCTGAATTAGGGTCTATAAGCCTAGATGGAGGCCAGTCTTCTGAGGTGCTGTGTTCCAAGCAGAAATACACCTTGGAGTGCCATAAGCACCACCAGACTATGCAAAGTCAAGCGTTGAGGGGGAAAATACAGAGTACTGTTGTGAATGTCACAGGAGCAGGCTTAAGTGCTGCAGTTAAAAAAAAAAAAAAGTGATTGAAATACATGATTAGGCTAAGTGGGCATTTCTTTATCTATTACTAAACATAAAATTTTTTGTTTAAGATAAGGAACTCCAAGCCAGCATTTTTCTGTAAAGGCTGAACTTACTGTTTTCTTTTGCTATCTGTGGTATAGCTCAAATGCTCAATAGAGCTTTGAAATGGTCTCAAGTAAGGATAGCAAAATACAGCTGCCTGGAAGGTAGAATTTGCAGAACTGACCACTAAACTTACCAAGAATCCCGTTAACTGACATGTTTACAAAGGCAGCACACACACAACAGGCATTACTGAGGTGCCTGGATCCATAACCCTTTTTGCCTTAGGTATCTGTCCATTTTCACCTATGTAAATGTTCATGCACCTCCAGTTTTGTTCTCAAACTTTGAGTCTCAGTGGGTCCATGCTGTACTAGAAGCTTGAGGGGACGACTGTTTAACACTTGACTGCAGTATGTAGTTAGCTTGTGATTTTACTTTTTACAGGTAATGCTTATGGGGATGTTATTGTTGGAATGCAACCACTTGGTGTTTTCAGGTGGCCTTTCCTTAACAGTTAAGGAAGCAAAAGCAGTGAGAATTGTGCTTAGTGTTCAAGAGAAGTAGATGCTGCCTGTCCCACGTTTAAAGTAACATGGCACTGAAGCCTAGAACTAGTACAATATTTAGCGATCTCATATATGTTTTACTACACGGGATCCAAAAGGGAATGATCTGGGGCTTTGTTGGTGAGATTTCAGTTAAGCAGCTGAGCTAGGAGGTTTACTTCAGTCCTCAGTGTATGTAGCAGTAACGAGATCTGCTGGGGAGAGACATTTTGAACTGCTGTCTCTTGTGATTAGTATTAGAACTAGTGACTATCGTTGTGAGAGCCAAAATAAATGGGTGACTATTAGATGAATAGTCCCAAGGTTTCCCTCTTTAGTCAGCCTTCCATTAGAGTTTTGGTGTTGCACACTTTGTGAAGGATCAGAAATGCAAAATGTTATAGCTGTCTCACTGAGGGGGGTGGATTAGATTTTCATGGTTGTGTATCTCCCTGTTGAGAAAGCTTTTATTCCTTTCTTAACTGCCAGTTGTGCTCTGTCATTACTGTGGATTTTATGCAGGTACAATAAATGTATATCTAATCCTTGTTATGTCTTTCTGATGAAACTTAGTCAAACAGATTAAAGGGTGTTATATGTCTTGCTTCCCGCAAGGTGCTGCGTATTCCAATAGGTCTGATCGCTTAATGACTGAAGAAAAGTAATGAAACATCCACTGATATAAGCAGGAGTAGGCTTGGACCGAAATTAAAATAATGACAGAAGGATGGAAAACAAAAGATTGAAAAAAGCTAGTTTTGTGGTGGTTTTTGCAATACATATTTATCTACAATTTCTTTTAAATATGATGACAATAAGAAAGAAAATACCTAATTTTCCTGCAGGAATTTTGTATTGCACCATATGCAGAAATAAAATTCTTTACATATAAGTATTTGCCAGATAATGTCATAATCTTTTTTCCCAGTGGTTATATTTAAAATCTTGTGTTCAAGGGTTTTTTACTCTGTCTGGTATACTGGTGCTCTAGGCAGTGCCAAGCTATTTCAGTATCCATAGTGCAGAAGGGCACTACAAATTTAAGCAAGGTAAATGGTGTTATTAAAGGTATTGGCAAAATGTATTTGTCGTGGTTTTGGCCCAGCTGGTAACTCAGCACCAT